TTTGCGTACGCATTGACCGAGGAAGCAGCTTCTTCATCCAGCAGTTTCCCGACCCACAGCTCCCTCAAGCTGAGTTTGCAGGTAACCCAAACCTCACTTCGTCATCAAAACTGTAGGCTCCCTAGGCTCCCGCCTTGAAGCATTACCGTCGTGGGAAGGTTGCCCGATGATTGAGGGCATCGTCCTTATTCAGCTCCATTATTTTGGCATCTGCAGCTATCATGCTGGCGTCAGGGTGGTGGAAGAAAGAGTTTGAGGAAGCGTCTGGAGGGGTCGGTGCCGATGGTAGCGGATAAAATCCTTGTCCATATTGCAGAAGAAGAAGCAGGAGTCAAGCGAGTGGTACTAATAGAAAGACCACTCCTTGTTGTATAAGTGCTTACATTACCGGTTACCCCTCTTGGTAATGGGCAAGTAATTTTGAGTTCGGAAAAGAGTGACAGAACTTTCCCGCCAACCTAATTCATATCTAGCCTAGAACAGAAATTCCAGAAGGCGCTTCGAAATGGGAACAGACCTGTGAGGATAATTTGCAGAGCATTCCATAACTTCTGCGTTGTCTGTAACCACAATTCACGAGAAAAACAAAAGCATCTTCTCTTCTTGTGGTTAAATATTCTTTGAATCACTATGGATTGCGCAAGTTCTCCTGGAGCCTGCTCTTGAATTTACATTAGCCTCTCCAACATTAGCCTCTTGTTTCGCCAATGATCTTCTTATTTTCAACGACTAGTGTAAAGGTAGAAATCTTTCTATATAATAGCTGAAAATGATGTCTCGTGCTCTGCGGCAGTGAACTGTGGGAGCGTTCTCCTGTTCTCAAGCTTCTTTTTCTCATACCTCAAAAGGTCACATCAAGGGTACCTTTGAAGTTTTTCCCTAATAACTCATCACATTGATTTGGGCTTATTACGAAATCCTTCACAGTTTGAAGTAACGAATTTTTGGGTTTATTCCGAACTCCTTTGGTTTGGTGTTGTTTCTCTGACACCTTCCACTTGAAAGAGCCTGTCAAAAATGATGAGCTATGCTGCTCAGGTAGTAATAACAAGATAGCAAGTGATTCATTAGTGAAAAAAATTAAGGAATAAATCTTGGGAAAAGCCCTATATGGAACCCATGCCGAAGTGAGCTCGTTTGTGCTAAGGCGAAGAAGGGTGTGTTTGGAGGAGTTCTCCAAACACACCCTTTTTCGCCTTCGAGCTTGTTCTTGGGCTTGTTCGTGCCAGTTCTCTTTGTCACCTCACTCTAACCCGAAGTGGAGAGGGTTAGTGGCGCAACAACCGCACTCTAGGTAGTAGTGAATAGTGAACTTTGGGCGTTGCGGCAGTCAGTGGGCGGGGCGGCAGTTCCTTCACAAGCGAACGACTCCTTGCACTCGTATTTTTGGCCTTGAAATCAGTGCATTCTCCATCCTCGTAGAGAGGTCTTGAACGCGGGCTTTGCTTTACCGGCTTGAAACTGTCCTTCCTTCAGTCTGAAGTTCTTCAGAGTGTTTACCTTCATTCTGAAGCCCCATTTCATGATAGGAAAGAGCCAAACCGATAACATGTCACAATTTTCTACTTCGTGACACATTTCTAGTTACATGTCCATGTTATACATACTCTCAGCTTTTGAACAGGTAGATCAAGACAATAACATTTCAAACACCAATCTCAAAAAGTCTCGGTGCTCTAGAGTCCACCGTACCTGGAGCTGTACCCCGATCAACTGCTAAAAAAAATCGACATCCCTTACTGCATGAATCTTGAATAGAAATCAACATGTGCGGAGGGGCTTCTCCTATAACTTCAACACGTTCATATTTCGTCGCATTGCCTCTAGTAAGCGCTGCAGCTACTTCAAGAGCTCGCCAGCGCTCGTATAGAGTGGAGACCACTGAATGGGCGCGGGAAAAGGGAAAATGGGGAACTATCGTTGGATAATTTCGGAATTGGTTGGAAAGTGGGACTAAGAAATTACACTGGTGCCCGCTCCTTCGAGAACACCTTGAAATCAGCAACTGAATTCTCTACTTGTCTCGTATAACCTCAGTCATTGCGAGATCCGAGCCTTGATTCTGTCGCCCTAAATCGTAATTTATTTAACTTATCGTTCAGCTTGAACTACAATTTCTTCGCCCCTGTATGGCCAACAAAGGTCGAATGGAGACGGTACTAGGTTCGGTTTAGGAATTCGATGATCGGTGCCGGACAATACTGAAATTTCGTCCTTTATAGGTTATGGATCAAGATGGGAGGATGATTGAGATCAGGATTGGATATATATGATATATTATGAGCGACTGGGACGCTGAGAGTATCAGCTCTACAGAGACAGTCGAAGTCGCCAACTGTTCGCAGAGGCTTCGAGGATTTTTTCTTCGTCTACTTCTCTCGTTACTTGTCATCGGTGCTTGCTCCGGCGCACTAGTTTGGTCATTTGTGAATGGTTAGCTTTTTGGCACTCATCGAATCCCTCAGATTAATTGCTCTATTATAATGGCTAATAATTCTATAGATTTTTAGCACAACAAATATTTTAATTTTCCTACTCGTAGCTACTCTTTTGAAATATGATAAGAAACAAACAGCTTTCAGGCGAGGCAGGCGCGAACGTAATTCATGAGCGGAATGCTTCAGTAAATTTTTCGATTCTAGTCGACGAGTATTCAGTGAAAGAAGGTGTTTATAGTGTTGTCGCACGACCAGATTCAGTAAAAGGCGGACCAAAGTAAGTGGAAGTCTTCAGTTTGTTTATTACCGTTTCTGAAATAATCTGATTGTTCTGTTACTACGTAGAAAATCATTTTATTAGTGAAAGAGACAACATATAAATTTTCAATGGTGAGTGAAGCACCAGAAAGGTACGGATTGCCTGAGCTAGCTTCAGAGGGTAATAACCTATCATTCATTCAAATTATCATGGCGACCGCCGTCGCCAGCCCTAGACTACATGAATCATTTTTAGCTTAAATGACACAAAGCATTACCATTAACCGACCACTGTGTGTGATCGCTTTAGACTCGTCCAGATTGGATAGTCAAGGTCTCGAAAAATCGTCCAGATTGATAGTCAAGGGTTTCAAAATTCTTCCCATGTAGATGCTGCCCTATTTATCGTGGGGCGCTGTTCGACTTATTCAAGTACCGTGCAAACTGGCGGAGTATATACTACCTTTTGACTTGTCACTATACAGCATTGCCACGTTTGATAATCCGGCCTGGTGCAAATTCCGCTCATGTAACCCCGCTTACGCTGCCCTTTCTGCCCAGAGATGGAGAGTCCGCGGCTGTGTACTCCTTTCGAACGTGACGGCAGGTGCGCTCTTGGAGGGATATTACACTTCCAGCACAGTGGCAACCATGACGTTGTCCCGTGCAAGGTGAGATAACACTTGTACAAACGAACTAGGCACCCTACGCCATGTTCGAGTGAAGCAAGCAGCCACGCCTACTCCATCGCTGGGATATGAAGTGCACACTCTATACTCCATTTATGTGCTTCAAATGGAACTCCTTTGGGAGCACATCATCGGTTGAGGGTTTTGGTCGAGTCCGTGCCAACCTCGCCCCTCTTCCCCCCTAGTTCCCTCCTCCCCTCTTCTGATACCATCTAGCTGTTGAGGAGGGGGAAGAGGAAACTCGCGAAAAGTCAACAACCGGGAAACATCTTCCCCACTGCCGTGATTTTCTTTCGGGAGCTCCCTCCCCATCTCTCGTTGGGGAATCCCCAACGGCGATGTGCTATGAGTCCTTTGATTTTTCCCAAATACCTATAGACGTAACACTCCCGCTTTGTTTGTTCAACTTCTCGTAGACGTACGTATTTCTACTTTCAGACTCCGTTAGAATATCCATCGTTTTGGTATCAGGACAACACAAACCAACGTCTAGTTCATCAGGTGAAGATGCTTTTCGGACTTTGGAAGTGATTTACAGTTAGTTCCCCTGGATTCGAGTGTGTAAGATAAGGAATCCAGATGAAGTTTTCAGGTGAACGAGAACACTGTCATTTATGCATGGCCCACATTCTCTTTCTGGGTACGATATGGGAAGAACGGTAGTATTTCGGTAGGTCTTCTACGGATTACATTGTTGAGGTGTCGGTCAGTAGACCCAATCTGGGACACGACGCTCGTAGTGGCGTCGCGATATTCGCACCAAGCTAGGTTTATTTGAAATGAATGAGTAGTAATGAACCGAGCCAGCTAACCAGGAAATGGTGTGTTACCGCAAATAGGTTCTTCTGGCCTCTATTCACCTTTTTACTGTTTACCACTACCATTAGCGCACATTTAGCGCTGCGATTTTGACTCATCAACCTCGTACACGGGTTACATCAGTCGTCTTGGACTGAACCGGCTCTCAAGGCAGCACTCGGCAATCGTACGTTTCTTTTTCTCGTCTTTCATCCTCTTCCTTTTTCTGATGAGCCAATTTACTGAGTTTTTGAAAATGTATGGTTTAGGACAAGCACCCCACACCAACGCCCCCGCCGGTCTCACCATAAGTTGTGTTTGTATACGATGGTGATCCGGAAAGTGTCATTTTGGAAGGATCGTCTCAAACCGCCTTTCTTCTCACAGCTTATGCTGATGCAGGAAACGGTGATTATATCACTCTGACTCTAAAATTAAACGTGGAGTCTTAACGAGGTCCGCACAGTGTTGTCTTACAGTGGTCTGACCTGAGCTGGACGGTATCCGGTTTAAAAGTGCAGCAGCGCATAAGATTTGTTGCGC